ACCTTTATAGTAGTAACTAGGGTTCCTTAAAGGGCTCTTGAAAGGGATCTATAGGGTTCCTTAAAGGGATCTATGGGGTTTGGGGTTTAGGGTATACTTGGAGGGGCAGGGGAGTTAGTAAGTAGGTTATAAGTAGGGTTATAATTGGGGTAACTCCATTTAGGGTACTTATAACTCTACCTATAACCTACTTACTAAGTCCCCTGCCCTTCCAAGTAGGGTCCCTTTTTTAGGTTAAGGGTTTAAGGTTTAAGGCTCCTTTAAGATATCTATATAAAGTTTGTAAAGGGGGTTTAGGGTTTAGGGCTCCTTTAATGAAACTATTTAGAGTGTGTAGGTTTGATAAGGTCCCTTTAAGCTTTAGGGTTTAGAGCTTTTGGGGTTTAGGGATGGGAGTTTAGAGTGTAATGTAGGGGCCTTAATCATCAGAATAGGGTTTTGGGGCCCATGATACTGTAAATATAAGAAGTAACTCTGAAAATGGTACAGGTAATTATTTAGGCTTATATTAGCGTTTTAAGGGTGTTGGGTTCCTTCAAGGGGGTCTGTAAGGGATATCATATTAGCTAGGGGCTCAGAAACGTAGGAAAAGGGCTTAGGGTTTAGGGTCCCGAAGGGGGATCTACAAGTAACAAACATTGATGCTTGAAGGGTTCCTGATTACTCCCTGGTTCTTAGCGCGACAATCATTAGCATGGGGCTTTGGGGAACATTGTTAAACCATCATCTTTATGGCAACCCTTGCCTAAGGAACAGCATGAACGGTACTTACGCGTGTTCAAGCTTCCATCCTAAGTCTTCGGGGTCATGTAATAAAGATACCCGTAGGTTCCATAGTAGTTCCATTTTGGGGGTTATACACCCTGCAGGATTCTAAATATGAAGCCCCAAAAGGGAACTACTAGGAAGCCTATGGGTAGGGGCTCAGAGGGATCTGCAACTGGGGACCCTGATGTAGCACCCTAAATAGTAGGATCCTTATTACCCTAGGGATCTAAGGACGCATATATTAAGGCTCTTGGGCCCCAAGGCCATACTATGTAAGGCTTTTGGGGGCTATTTTGATCCCTAGGGTTATAAGGATCCCAAAATAGGGTACCCCTAATTTTCGGGAACTCCCATGTAATAAAGGGAACTCCAGAAAGTTGGAATATGGTTTCAGGGTAGGATACACTATAATTTACCATAAAGGGTTTAGGATAATCATATTCCAACTTTCTGGCTTTTACTTTAACTAGGATACCCAGTAACCTAAGAATAAAAAGGCCTCTCTTTTTGGTATTGGGTAACTTTATAAGGAACCTAAGACTACAAAAAGAGAATAAGGGTACTACTGGACATCCTAGTTAAAGTAGGGGCTTCAGAGGATCAGGCTTCCAAGCTGATCAATGAAGCCACAAACCCGGTAGACCCCTGTAACGGTTAGGGTTTAGGGTTTAGGGTTGAGGGTTGAGGGTTTAGGCTTTAGGGTTTAGGCTTTAATGTTTAGGCTTTAGGGAGCGACCTTTCATTAACTTACCGGGTGATCCATAAAATACCACGGCATCCTTAGTATGATGAGACAGGATTGATAATATAGGGGCCTTAATGACTGGAATAGGGCTTTAGGGTATATTACTTACACTATAAGTATAATGCGGAATTCCAAAACAGTGTTGGAACCCAAAAAACTACTGGTAATTGTTTACGCCACTCTGTTATTGCTTGAAGTCAAGGCTTTTGGAGTCTCCGGGCATGCCTTGAAACCTACAAAGCCCGTATACGCTAAGCCCCCAAAGCCATAAACCCGAACCCCCAAACCCTTAGAACCCCTAAACTCCTAAGCCCTAAGCCCCCAAAACCCTAGAACCTCTAAACCCTCGAACCCTAAACGCCCTAAACCCCTGAAGCCCTAAAGACTTCAGCCCTTCAGTTACAAACATCACGAGACGGCACATTGAACGAGCAAGCCCTTGAGGGTTCCCTTAAGGGTTTAAGGTTCCCGAAACGGGTGCAGGGTTTAGGGTTCCCCTTCGAGGTGCCCTTAGGGTTCCCCTTCGAGGTGCCCTTAGATGAACTCTTAAAGGAGCGCTTGCATGTCCAAGTTCCAAAATTCCAGGACGTTAGGTGCCAAAGCAGCTCAGGACCATAAACCCAACTAATGTGGCGCTTGCTCTGTCATGCCCCCTGTAAACCGGTAAAGATCCAGAGACTACAACAATGGAAAAACTCTGAAATGTAAAATCACATGGTAACAATCTCTCCATACATTTAGGTGCACTTCCGAATCAAGTGTTTCCCTGCGTCTGTGGGGCAGAGCAAGGAACTTATGTTTCAGTGCTGAACAGACAGCTCCTCCTCGAAGCTACGCGTGGCCAGAAGCCGCTCCGCTTCGGAGGTGAGATCAATAGCCACCTTCGTACTTGTCCAACCCCTAAACCCTAAACTCTAGACCCCTAAACCCTAAGCCCTAAACCCCTAAAGCCATAAACAGTGAACCCTAAACCCTATAACCCCTACACCCTGAAACAAGTGTAGCGGATTCCATGGCTCTATACGGCTCTTCAGGCGCCTCCGTACTGTAGCGCTTCTTACTTCCCAAAAGCCCGAGGGCTTAAAAGTTCAAACTTGCAGAATAAGACTACCTCATAAGAGCCCAAAAGTTGAGAAGTTGAGTGTTGGAACAATAAGGCTTAGGGGCTGAGGGTTTAGGGGCCAGCATGTGGCTAGTGTGCATCAGTTCTGATTTCCCCAAACCACAAGAGCCCTAAGGCTCCATGTACCCAAAAAGGGTTCCTTTAAGGGTCTACTATACGGGTACTAGTAGGGTTCCTTTAAGGTCTACTACACGGGCGCTATAAGGGTACAATAGGGTTGAAGGCTCCATGTGCCCATGCAGTACGTGAAGCCTTTGGGGAGTATATTTAGAAGCCCTGCTGTCTGCGATGTGGGTTCTGGAGGCCCTCGAAAATTCCCAGAGGCTCCACATTTTGTACCATTATGGAATTAGGTCCTTAAAGCCACAATAGGACTGATATTTTTGGACCTTATTCCATGATGGTGCTATATACGCAGCCTCTAGGATTGTGTCGTGTCATGGCAAACTCTCTACAAATATGATACCGCAAGGTCGTGACAGCAAAACAATGCAGCACTTAAAAGTTCATTGCCAAGTTCAAGTTGGAAGCCCACATGGCCTACATAGGTCGCCAAATGGCCGACGTAGTATATGAAATACAGCATGTACATCTGCACAGTTTCTGTCACGAGTTCAGCTTACGGTTTAAGACTCTGGGTTAAGGGTTTTGGGCTGTAGGGTGCTGTAGGGCCGTTCTAATTTGGAAAACTTTGCGTTCACTTGATAGCACCTCGTCCACTGACCGCTTCTCCGTTGCATCGCAGCGGTGAGATAGAACCTGCTAAGACTACAGCCACTTATACCCTGAACTCTAAGTCCTACACGGCACACCCTAAACACTGAACGCTAAATCCTTTCGAACCTGCCAGGACCACGATCAGATCACACGAACTTCTGTGAGGGTGGGTTGGGATTTGATATCGCGAACTGCTAGGTTTCCAAGCAACCCCTTCACAATAGCCTGTCAGTTTCTGCAGGATTTATAGGGGAATCGAACTGGGGCTTTCCAGGGTTTAGGTTACTGGGTGCCCAAGTAACCCCTGAAGAGTCTGGGTGATGGTATTTCCGCTTTCCGATTGCTGAGTTCGAAGGAGGAGACACCCAAACCTTGAGGCTCCTACTGCAAGAAGGGATTACAAAGGTTCCTTTAAAGGGATCTATGCGGGTGTAAAGGCTTTACAGGCTACATGTACTATAGAACCCTTTTGTAAGGTCGAACTCTATCGTAAACAGGTACATGGACCCCCCAACAACCCCTTGTAGTAGTCCCTGGTTACCTCTTAATGAGAAATATTAGAGCCCTTTAAAAAGATACTTGGGGGGGGGGGTGCTGGTGCATGGACCCTTTACGAACGCAGGGAATTGCGGCTTGGAGCCCGGCTACCTGGATTCTAGCGGGTGTTCCAGCGAGAGCAAGAAGGTAAGCATTCATTATGGAACTCCTGAGATTCGGATATATATATATATATATATAATTATATATATATATATATATATATAATATAATATAATATAGTATAATATAATATAATATAATATAATATAATATAATATAATATAATATAATAATATATATATATATATATATATTATAGAGAGAGAGAGAGAGAGAGAGAGAGAGAGCATAGAGTATAGAACGGCCCTGCACCCCGTAAATCCATGTTCCAACTGTCGGGAGATTGCATACAACTATGTGCAGTGGTTTAACCCCACTGCATCGAATGCATGCCCCCGTCATTTGCATGTCACTGCTCAGCTCAATGGGTCCTAAGTACCTCTATTGAGGTACTTACCCAAACCAGGGTAGTATACGATGTGATACTATATTCTACTCAGCTCAATGGGTCCTAAGTACCTCTATTGAGGTACTTACCCAAACCAGGATAGTATACCATGTGATACTATATTCTACTACGTTGCAGTATGTGATACTATTATTAACTACTTCAGATGTTCCTACTATATGCTCCAGGTATAGAAAACTGTGGAACTGACGAATTCCAAGACCCTCCATCTACCCTCTATTGGACCCTAAGTACCCACTATTTGGGACCATATATGCCTATTTGAAGGTACAAGGAGGGTCCAATGAAATCTGTTGAAGTGATCTTGCTGATAACGCATGCTCATGTTGTGCTGCTCTTTGGTTTAAGTCTGATGACTGGGCCAAAGAATCATGGACACGAAGTCCAACTGAAGACATCAGTATGTAAAGATGAACTGATGTTGCACTGTAAGACAGCTGAGGCCTTACCACATGTACAACTTCAGGCTAAAGCTGTTGCACTTGAGACTTCAGGTTGTGTGCCGAAAAGAAGAGTCCGCTGTGTAGCGCCGTGCCATGGTCTGTTAGCTCACCCACTCTGCCATTTGAAGAACAGGCATGATCCCCAACGATCAACAGGGTATGAGCCCAAAACGTACCACCGTGCTCGAGGGTGAGACTAATGGTCCAAGTTATGGGACAGCTACTACGCAGCAGGAAGCTCAGCAGCATGATGCTGCTCTGAGCAGCGAGCCTGTTATGAATGGTGCAAGGATTGGCAGCATACAGGACCCGTCTGGCGAGGACCAGGCGACCGTGCCACGACCTTCAAGGACCCCTCCGATGCCTACGGCAGCTGAGTTTCTAAGTGCTTCGGATTCCATGACTCGTGACGATCATGGGACTTCGTTACCTACGGGAGTACCAGAACTTTCAGCTGTGGATGTGGGACCGAGTCAGGGAGGTGTGCGAATGCAAGTGGGAGGCTTCGAGTTTTCTCCACCCGAGGCTTTACCTTCGGAGACCCAACAGCAAGCGCCTTCCAATCAGGTCATGTGGTTTGCGAGGATCGGGGAGTTTGTTCAACGGCGAGTTGCCCAAGCCGGCGCGGCCATGAACCCTATAATGGAAGCCCGAACTCAGCGAACTGCAACCCAGGCTCTTCGGACTCCTTCGCCAAGGACTTCGCGTTTGTTCACTCCGGAAGCTGAGCAAACTATGGCCCAATGGACGAGGAGGGCCCCACATCTTTACTCTCCGGACCAGAGAGCCCACGAAGAATCCTCGAGTGCCTCTCTGACCCAGGAGCAGATCTTGGCGGAGGTTCAGAAGCAGGTCCGCGCGGAGATGAAGGTGCACCTTGATGAACGTCAGGCTCTGGCACACGAGAACCAGCAGTTGAAGGACATGCTGGGAAAGGTTTTAGATAGAGTGCAGTCACGTGGACCGGACGGCGGAGGCTTTGATGAGTCGCGTGGAAATCTACCTGAACCCCATGGAGGCGTTCCTGATGATCCTTTTGACGGGCGTGGAGGAATTTCAGGTGGACTACGACGACCGCTTGCTGAGCCAGCAGGTGAGCCTTTTAAAGCCCAACCGGCCCCGGGATTACCTGCACCTTCAGGAAATGAAAGTGGTGATCCACGACGCGGTCGAGATGATGCTGGGCACTCTGGCAGAGATCCACTAGGAACGTGGCTACCCTTGAAGGGCAGGCACCCTGGACAAGGTGGAGCTGGAGGGCACGAGCAAGGACCTGCAGGAGGACAGCCATCACATCCACCGCAACAGAAGGCGGCAACAAGTGGCCACCCAGGCCAGGCACCTCAGGTCTTTCAGGACCCTCTTGGAGCCCTGGTTCAAGGGATGGCTCAGCTGCAGAATGCGATGACAGAGTCGATATCGTCGCGGACAAGAGAGCCAGAGGTGGTGAAGCCGGGCTTGGCTGATCTGCCAAGGCTGCCAGAATTGGGGCCGAACTCGGCCATTGACATAGGAGACTGGCTACATGGTCTCCAGAACCACATGGGTGACCTGAGCAACAACAGCGGTCAATGGTGGTCCGAGATCATGTCGTGCCTCACGAAGTACTACGAGGCCTACCTCGCGGCATCCAACGTGGGCAAGCTCACCATTAAGGCCGAGGACTTCGAGTCGGACCTCCTTCGTGATGCAAAGTGGGCCAGGGTGGACAAGAGGGCCTCCTCTATGATTCTGGCGAGCGTTCCAGAAGCTGTGAAGGTCGAGCTGTTGTCTACAAGGTTGGTGGGCTCGCTTGCAATGCTGTCAAGAGTGGTGGTGTTGTATAGGCCCGGCTCGATTGCAGAAAGGCAACAAGTTCTTCGAGCTTTGGAGACGCCGGCCCAGGCCGGATGCTGTGACCGAGCTGAGGAAATGGGCTCGATGGATGGCCCGTGCAACAGACATTGGTATCCAATGTCCGGATGCCAGTGTTTTGGTTCGTGGCTTGGACACCGTAGTGAAGAAGGTGTTACCAGAGCATGCTGACATCGCCTTCCGCGTCTCCATGCTCCGCTACAACTTGGAGGTGGATACGAGGCCAACAGTCAAGGGAGCGAGAGACTTGCAACAGGCTTTGATGAGTGAGCTGGAGCAAGTGGCCTTTCGGGGACGTGCAGGCAATACATCGACTCCGAATGTGAAGGCGGCTACGGTGACTACGTCCTCTACCACGACGGCCCAAAAGGCAGATGGTGCTGAGGGTGGAAGCCCAACGGGGCAACTGAAAGCAAAGGCCAAGCCATCGTGCAGGTTTTTCTTGACGGACAAAGGGTGCAGCAAAGGCTCGGCATGTACGTTCTCCCATGCTTTCACGAGGAAGGAGAAGATGGGGCGATGTTGGTCTTGTGGGAGCAATCAACATCAGCAATCAGAATGCCCTGCAAAGACTGGCGGTGGAGCCAGCCCCTCTGCGAAGGCTGCTTCAAAGGCGCCGCCGGCGATCAAAGCTTTTACTGAGGTACCTTCAACGGCTGGAACTCCGGCTGCGGCGGCAGGAGCATCCTCTACGTCTTCGGCATCTACAGCGGCTCCGGATACTTCGCAGCAGGCCTCTGAGAGCGAGCTCAAGGTGTTGTTGCAAGAGGCTAGTGCGATGCTCAAGGAGATCCGGCAGCTGAAGATGCTTGCGTACTCCACCACGGATGTGGAGAACAGGGCTGTGGGATCAGGTTGCGACCCAAGAACGGGCCGCACAGGCTTGCTCGACTCTGGAGCTTCCCATCCTTTCCGGGAGGCTACTGAAACGGAGCTTGATGATGCGGCAAGGGTGAGAGTACAGTTGGCTGACGGCAAGGAGGTGGTCTTGGCCCAGAACTCCAGTGGGACTCTTTTGACAAGGAAGTCTGGTGGTGACTCTTCGGGCCCTATAGTGCCCCTTGGTGCGCTGGTTCAAGACTTGGGATGCCAAATTTCTTGGACGAGGCGGGGTGGTCTCACAATCCGTCACCCGGAACATGGACTAATCCGTCCTACTGTGTTCGGCCGTTGTCCAGTGGTTGCGGAACATCAAGCGCTGGATTTCATCTACGAGATCGAGTGCGAGAAACTAAGGCAACTCCAGTATGCGACCCGGGCTACTGCGAAGTCTATCTGGCTTTGGGACCAGGAGAAGCCATGGGCGAGACACCTTGAGGACTTCGTTCGAGCTGGAGGCCGTGGAGCTCAACTTCGAGCTATGGTTTCAGAGGGCTCACCATTTTCATCGGTCTGAGATGGACCGTTCTTTGGCGGCGGAGCATGTGAACTTGGATGATAAGTCCGGCTGGGCGTACCTACGGGCTCTACCAGGGTCAAGACAACGCAGAAAGAGGATGATGAGCTCACCTTGGGTACTTCATCTTTATGCAGGCCCTGGGAAAGGCGTTGATCCAGCGTTTCGTGAGCTTGATGATGGCCGTGTGTTGGTACAGGTGGACATCAACCGTTCCAAGGCAGAGGACATGGGAATGGTGGCGGGTGTGTATCGTGCACTACTTTGGGCAGCGGCGACGGGCAGAGTGGACGGGATCATTGGCAGCCCGCCAGCGCGAGTGGATCTGGTTCAGAAGATGATGTGGCTTATGATGGTGGCGAAGGCTGCAAGGAGCCATCATGGAGGACACCCCGTGTTCGCTATGATTGAGGGCAAAAAGTTGATGGATGTGGTCCGGATTGGGGGCGTCCATAAGTGGGAGTCGGTCACGGCCTCCTGGGACATGTTCACGGAGGTTATGTGCTTGGAAGAAGTTTGCGAAAACATAGCTACAAACCTGACCTTTGGGCAAGAGATCCCTCAAGCTACGAGTGATGGAGCAGCTTGGACCATGGAGTTTAAGGAGGCAGTGTCAGAGGCGATCCGCCATTGGGGTCGTGAGCCGGAGGCGCTGCAGATGATGAAATGGGTGAAAAGGTGGGCAAGTTCCTGGAAACGTTCACCGACAAGGAGTTGGCTATGTGGCGCACTCATGTGAGGAACAATCACGTCCCTTACAATAAGCGGTGCAGAACTTGCGTGACTACGAGTGGGACGGGGAGAGCGCATCGTCGAGTACGCCATCCCTCCTCGCACTGTCTTAGTTTGGACATAGCCGGGCCATTTCGTCACAAAGCAGCCGATCCCAACCACAAGGACTATCGCTACCTCCTAGTCGGGGCGTACACCATGCCAAGACTACCAGCAGAAGAGCCAAAGCCCGAGGAACCACATGGACTACCAGCAGAAGAGCCAAAGCCCGAGGAACCACATGTACTACCAGCGGAAGAGCCAAAGCGCAAGGAACCACATGTACTACCAGCAGAAGAGCCAAAGCCCGAGGAACCACATGTACTACCAGCAGAAGAGCCAAAGCCCGAGGAACCACATGTACTACCAGTAGAAGAGCCAAAGCCCGAGGAACCACATGTACTTCCACCTGGTGAGGAAGCATTGGGGCATGATCATTTTACACCGTTGGAGCTTGGAGGTCATGAAGTACCAGACGACTTTGGATATGGCGTTGGAAATGTGTTCCCTGAGGATGCTCTTGGTGATCCAATGGAAGAGGTGACTGAAAGGAGAGGAGCTCGAAAGCTACCTGAGGAGGAGTGCCGTGGTCTGTCTGAGGAGGAGTTCAAGCGTTTGTTCAATGAGGTTGGCTATGCTATGGACTTCCAGACCGTCTATGTAGTCCAGCCGCTGAGGACGAGGACGGCGGGTGAGGTTACAGCTGCTGTGCAGTCAGTCGTGCTGCGCTTGAAGGCGGAAGGGCTGTATATCTCACGCATCCACGCAGATCGTGCACGTGAACTTCGTGTGGAGTCCATCAAGCGGTGGGCTCTAGAGAGGGGGATTTTCTGCACGTACACAGAAGGACAAGCTCCGCAGGCCAACGGAAAGGCGGAGGCAGGTGTCAAGTGGGTGAAGTCGTCCGTGAAGCGGCTCCTTATGTGCAGTGACCTACCGAAAGAAGCGTGGGCCGTAGCAGCGAACTACGCGGTTCAAAACAGGATGGAGCAGCTGTTACGCCAGTCTACTTCTATGTTGCCTTTTGGAACAAGAGTTCATGTTCGCTCGAAGGTCTACGGGACGGGCGGGAAGTACGACCTGGATTCGAGGTGGAAGGCGGGAACATATGTTGGTCCTAGCTTAGAAGTGCGAGGGGGCCACCTGATTCGCTTTGAAGACGGCTCCTACATGACGTCCACCCACTTGAGACCCCATTTGGTCGAGACGGACAAGATAGTGGACTTGGATGAGTATGAAGTAATGCTCCCAATGCCTACAAGAAGGTTGAAGGGGAAAGTTGGTGCCACGGATTTGGACCAGAACAGTGAACACGAGGTCTTGCACTTGAAGTACGACCCAGAACACCCGGCAGAGCAGTATGCAATGAGGCTGCTTGAGGAGGAGATCCTTACGGCAGACCAACTTGAGAACCTTGCGCGGATGCTGCCATCGACTGCTCCTACGCCGAAGCGTTTTGGACCCCAACGGGATACGCAAAAGGTCTGGACGGCAGGTGCCTTCGTTCATGGGGGCATTGTAGGGGTCAAGAACGCTACTGGAGTGTTTCCGGCAAGCACAAGGGCGCTCATCAAGTATGTGAAGCAGTTGGAGCCCGAGCATAAGTTCAATGCGGTAGCCATCACGACTGATATAGAAGCAAAACAGCATGTGGATGCGCACAATGTCGGGAAGAACTTGGTTGCAAGCTTATCCTACTTCAAGGGAGGTGCATTGGAGGTTGAGTATCCAGAGGGTGCCAGGCTGTTGCCTTTGGATGGTGATCATACCCACCAGCTCTTTGACCCGAAGTTCAAACACTCCACGAAGCCCTGGTTTGGAGGTTCCCGGATTGTGTTGGTTGCGTACTCAGTACGAGACAGTGGAAAGTTGAAAGAGGACCAGATCAAGTACCTACAGGGCCATGGTTTTGAGTGGGTTCCACACTTATCAAAGCCGATTGTGAGCGAGGATGATAAGCCTGTAGTGAAGATGATACGGGTTGGGCTGTTGGACGCTACGGGTGACGATAAAGTGCCAGCGCAACCTCGAGATCCTCCAGAGCATGAAGGTGATCCAGGTGTTGGTTGTGGTGATGATGTTTCAGGACAACATCGAGATCCTCCAGAGCATGAAGGTGATCCAGTCAAGGGCCTTAGAGGTGGTGATCACATGACGAATCTGGTACATGATGTAGAGCTTGCTATAGGCGATTTAGAAGATCGTGCCGGAAGACTCAGGGATCTCTTAGAGGAAGAAGAAATCCTCTGTGAAGAGTACCGCAGGCTGGGTCAGGCTACGCGAGAGAACTTGAATGATACCCGCAATCAAGTGAGTGAGTTCCTTGAACAGATGTATGAGGAGCTACTGGGCCTTGAGAGACTGAGGACTATGACGTGCCTGCGGTCTGTGAGGGTGTCACAAGGAGCGAATGAAGGGGATGATGTAGATTATGAGGCGCTGTTGGATAGCCTTGAGGAGGACCTAAAGGTTGTCCACACGGTACCTGTTGGCCAGGTGAAGCGTGCCCTGGAGAGGTGGACAGCAGCCATTCGCAAGGAAGTAGAAGCTTTGTTTGCTTCTGGGACTTTGAGGCGGGTGACTATTGAAGAGGCCAAAGAGATGGAGTCCAAGGGCCTTGTTACGTTTGCTCCTGCGAAATGCGTTTTTACTTTGAAGCCCCCTCAAGTCCCTGGTTCGAGAGCGAGGAGAAAATGCAGAATGGTGATCTGCGGAAACCACGTCCAAGGAAATGCTGACTTTGGTGATTTATATGCAGCTGGGTCGTCGACAGATGCATTACGACTCACTCTGATTATTTCGGCTGTGATGAAATGGGTTGGAGCTATCTCAGATATCACTGGAGCTTTTCTCCTGGCCAGCTGGCCAGCCCATCTGCCGAAGTATGGAGTATACCCGCCGAGAATCATCAGAGATGCCAATGTTGCTGGCTTGGAGGCCTGGATTGTGGAACGTCCACTATACGGCTTAAGAGAAAGTCCCCGAATTTGGTGCGACTATCGGAACCAACGTTTGTTGATGGCGCGAATACCTGTGGGAGACTTGATGTTGATACTGAAGCCGACAGTCTCAGAGCCGGAGCTTTGGATAATCCTGGACGAGGTGACGGGCATCATGTACGGCCTTATGGTGTTGTATGTGGACGATATTGCCTATTTCTCGACAGAGCCGATCGTGCTGGCGGTCCATGCTTATGTGGTGAAGGAGTGGCCGGCAAGCGACCTTGAGTGGATTACGGAAGCAAACTCAGTTCGCTACTTGGGGGTTGAGATTGGACGAGAAGTTCGCACTAACTCTGGTGGGGAAGCTTTCCGTGTGTACACCATTGGGCAGACGGCCTATATCCAGGACTTGCTCAGGAGCTACAACATGATGGATGTCACACCCACAGCGCTCCCGGTACCGAAGGAGTGGATCGAGGCGGCAGAGAACGACGATGAAGCAGAAGCTGACTATGACGAGCAAACCCTTCGGCAAGCTCAACGAGTTGTTGGAGAGATGCTGTGGTTGGGAACCAGGACTCGCCCTGATCTGATGTTTGTCGTTTCTCATGCTGCTAGCTTGGTTGCAAAACGACCTTCGTATGTGGTGCGTCTGGGGAATAGACTATTGGCCTACCTTGCGGGCACGGCAGAACTCAAGATGACGATGGGACCTGTTGGTGCAATGACAGAAGCAGAGCTCATTGCCTACACGGACGCCTCTTATGCACCGTTCGGTCGGAGGTCCTTTGGGGCTGCTGTTGTAACGTTTGCTGGTTCGCCGGTGGCCTGGAAATCGGGCAGGCAGAGCTTCATTACATTGAGTGTCATGGAAGCAGAGCTCTACGCTGCCACCCAGGGGTGTACTTTGTTGAACTCTGTGTATGCCTTGCTTGCAGAAGTTTACCCAACCCAGGTGAAGCGCATCCTGGCAGTGGACAACACCAGCGCTGCTGCTATGCTGGCAGGCGGACATGGGAGCCAGCGTACGCGACATTTGAAGATAAGGGCCAACTATGTACGGGAAGCAGTTGAGGAGGGCAATTTTGAGATACGCCACACCCCAGGGAGTGAGCAACTTGCCGACTTGTCAACGAAGATGCAGTCGAAGCTACGACTACATCAGCTTTTGCAGCTTTGGGGCTTTGTGGGCTTTGCATCAAATGTTGTGCAAGCTATGAAGCTGAAACTCCTTTCAGTGTTGATGGTGTTGGCTCAGTGCGTGTGCCCAGCTCGTGGTCACCGAGATGAAGCAAAAGAACCGCTTCCGGCTACGACATGGGAGGAGTTATTGGTCATGATGTTTGCCATTTCGATCGTTGCAGTTTGTTTTTGGGAACTTCTTCGATGTGGATACCGGAGGGCCCTGCGATGGCATAAGAAATGCCGTAAGGCGCAAAGGCTTGCCCAAGCGGGGCAACTAGCTTCTGCTGCTGCAAGGAGAGAAATTGATGCTGTGATGACCAATGATACCACAGCGACCCCAAGGTTGAGGAGGAGAACTACCATGTCTTCACGACCTACTCCCAGGACGCCATCACCAATGAGGACGCCGAGTATGCCAACCACTCCACAGGTGCCTACGGCTAGGTCACCTATGTCTACAGCCGGAAATACCACACCGGCTACAAGGCCGAGGTCCGTCACCCCGCCAACACAGAGGCGAATTTCTACACCACCTACAGGGGCTCAGGCGGCAACTGAGAGGACAAGGGTGTGCAGAGATACGCTTAAATTGATGACCTGCGAAGATCTACGAAGTGCTCTACGGCTGGAGGGACAGCCGGTTTCCGGAATCAAAGAAGATCTTTGCGAAAGGTTATCTCCCTCTCTCGAGTCTTCCGATGTGACTGACAAGCAACTTCGCTATGTTCTGTACTTGTGGCGTCACAAGGATTTGAGCTACCGATGCAAGCTGCGATGGGAGGATATCAACAACAAGTACAGAGTTTCAGCATGGATCGCACGTTGGAAGAATGCCTAGGCGTGTATAGTTCAAAGGCCTATTTGACATACTTTCAGTGTGGTGTGGAGCACCACATTCGCATAGCACAACAGTTATGCTTGTTTGCGGGACGCAGCAAGCAAGGAGGAGTGTTGAAGTGATCTTGCTGATAACGCATGCTCATGTTGTGCTGCTCTTTGGTTTAAGTCTGATGACTGGGCCAAAGAATCATGGACACGAAGTCCAACTGAAGACATCAGTATGTAAAGATGAACTGATGTTGCACTGTAAGACAGCTGAGGCCTTACCACATGTACAACTTCAGGCTAAAGCTGTTGCACTTGAGACTTCAGGTTGTGTGCCGAAAAGAAGAGTCCGCTGTGTAGCGCCGTGCCATGGTCTGTTAGCTCACCCACTCTGCCATTTGAAGAACAGGCATGATCCCCAACGATCAACAAAATCCCAAACCCTCCTCCAGAAAGCCCATGACCCCTTTCGGAGCCGTAGGGCTGTGGAACCGACGAATTCGCAGACAGTTTCGAGAGCCCTTCCGGCCTCCACAACGGAGTCTCCGGCCTCCTGTCACGGTAAAGCTCAGAGATCCCAATATTCCTTAGTTAAGGAATACCTAGGCTTCCTTTAAAGGGATCCTTAAGGGTTCCTTTAAGGGATCTATAAGGGATCTATAGGGTTTGGGGTTTGAAGGGGACTCCAACATCCCTTACTTAGGGCAGCAGCTGCTTTGCAAGAAAGCCTAAAACCCCGCCCTAAACCCTACATTCGGCTGATGGGTCTAGGATGTAAGGGGATCCCAATATCCCTTAATTCGGGAATATACTTTAAGTTAGAGGGGCCTTAATCTTATGGCTTAAGGTAGATTCCTTAATTAGGTGGTGTTGGGATCTCTGGGCAAGCAAGCCATGGACACCAGGACGACTACAACGACTGGTGCTCCTATGTCTTCCACCTATCGTGGCTGCCATTGCCGTCTCATCTCATCTCAGTTCGCCTCATCAGTACCAGTCTGCCCCACCCCGCACCACTTCTCACCATGATCATGGTCATGTGCAAGAACACCTTCATCATCAACAGCAGCTTGGGGTCTGTGTTATGTTATCACCGATCACCTCAATCATTACCATCATCGCCTCTAGCAGCCCGTAACCCTGAGTCAAGGAGCTTTTTCCTTTGCAGAACAAGCGCTCTTTGCTCCTGCTGCGTCGCACTAAGGGTAACTGCCGTGACGCCAGGGTTCCTGTATACCGATACCAGTCATAGGTTTGTTTAGGGTATATGGGGATGTAAAGTCGGTAAGATGGACATTTATAGCTAATTATAGCCAAAGCTTTTCCTTATATAGAAGTGTAATTGACACGCTGCTCTGACAATAAGCAGCATCCAGAAACGCCAAGAAAGGTCGACAGTCCACTGCCCAGGCCCGACGACTTCCTATGCATATCTTTCTTTCCTATCCCTGAGGGTCCATGTACTCATATCGCATATGCTTTGGGGTCAATGTAGCTATATAGGGAGTACTTTAAGGCCAATGTATATACTATATGAGTACATGGCCCCTTAGGGGACCCATCTATCCATCTAGTTACCTATCGACATACCTAACTACCTATCTATCGACCTATCTATCTACAGATCTACATATCGACAGATGGTTCGACCTGTCTGTCTATCTATCAGTCTATCGATCTCTATCTACCCATCTGCTTATCTATCCGTGTGACCATGTTGATCTATAGGTCTATCTATGTCTATCTACATGTCTATCTATCTGCCTCCCGATTTAAACATCTACTGTTGTATTTGTCTGTCTGTCTTCATATCTATCTATCCTTCTACTTGTTTGTGTAGCTCTATACATCTATCTATCTATCTGTCTCTCTATCTAACTGTCTATCTATCTGCCTATCTAGCTGTTCATCTGTCCATCTATCATCCATGTTAGTGGGAAGGCTTCATGCATCCATCTATCCATCGAGCTGGCAATCTATCTGTCCATATCTATCCATCTATCTATCCAGCAAGCTAGCTATCTGTACAGACGATATCGCAACCGATCGCATCGAGGACTGTGCTTCCGTCGCCCTTTAGCCCTGCATGCAAAAGCCTGTTCCACACCATGCCCCAAAAGCCTATATAATTCATACCATGCGCCAACCCTGTAAACCCTAAAGACGTACCAAAGTCATCGTTAGTGCAAGATGCAACCCATCATGACTCTCACTCAGATGAAAAATTCTCTGAATTAGGGTCCCTTGTTAGGTCCCCCAAATAGTACGGCACCCCTATACAAAGGACCCGGAAAGGGACCCTATTTTGACAACCACCCAGGTGACAGGAGCCCGGGAGTATGCTGCTCAGGCGGTGAGGAAAATCCGACTGCACCGTGCCAATGACAGGCCGCAGCCTTTAAAAAAAACAATCTTCTAGGGATGGCTTTAAATCTAGGGCTTGGGGCTCATACCCCTGAGCCCCTCATTTTAAATCCTAAGCCCCTGAGCCGCCAAAACACATAATGGTTACAGGGTGTCTCCGCCCTGAACCCCAATAACTACTATTTGCTTAAGAATCCCCAAAAAATATAAAATATATTCCTTATGGGGGTAATATAGGGATTATTATTTTTTATTTTTTGGGGGTTTCCTAAGCAAATAGTAGATAAACCATCAGTGTAGGGCTACTCGAAGCGCCCGGCGAGGACAGCTGCCAGCGGCAGAAGCAGAACGATGGCTCCAATCAGGGAGGCATCGAAGGAGACGTTTGGTGTGGAGTCGTCCTGGAAGATTCGGACCGGCTTGTGCTTCTGTTTACGGCTTGCTTACGGGTTAATCGGTATTCCGTTCAGAGCAAGTTCCTATCCAATTGTGAACAGACTCCTGCCTTCAGTGCACATTATATCCAAATTTCTGATCTCCTGTGTTAAGAGCAAGGTTGCCTTTATGGCACATGTCAATCCAACTTTAGGATAGGCTCCTGCCTGAAGAGCCGGGCAATTTAAGGATACGGCTTCTGGGCTCAGGACTTAGTTGAGGGTTCGGGTGATTTAGAACTACCTGAACCTACCAAACCCTACTTTTTGTAGGGTCCGTATAAACTCCATATTAGGGTTCATAATGAGAACCTACAAAAAAAGGGGGTTTGGTAGGCAATTGTACTGTAGGGTGAGGAGACCGCGAGTAGGACAATCGCACCTACATGGCTGCCATCTCACACCCTTGTACGCACTGTACGCACTTCTCGGGTTCAAACTCGGTTGAGCTCTGCTGGCCCTGCCTAGGAATCGCTGGGTCCCCAACTAATCGGGTTTCTGATCATTACAAGTCTGGAGAATAAACTACTTACTAGGTCCCCCGACCCTCCATTATAGAACCCTTACAGGTCCCTTTACGGATGCCTTTTCGGAGCCCTTTAAGGAACTCACTTACCAAGTCGCCCGAGCCTCCAAGTATAAACAAGATATGAACCCCTGAACCCCAAACCCTGCCTGTAGCCGAACAGACCTTCCTTTCTAGGGTCTTATAGACGGGCCCTTTAAAGGAATCCCAAAAGCCGTGCTCTAATTATTTAAGCCCCTATACTACCCTACAAAACTACGAGGTTTAAGTTCTCTGAACCTCTGGATTATCCCTAAACCCTAAACCCTAGACCCTAAATCCTAGACCCTAGACCCTAAACCCTGTTGCAGAGTACGTCACGCCGGCCTCCACTGCCCGTGGGTCCGCAACCTTCGGCTCCTCTTGCGGAGCATCGGGAGCCTCGCGGCAGTCCAGATTTAGGGTTTTAGGGTCATGGGTTTAGGATTTTAGCCATTTCGTCTTTAAGGCATGGTAAGGTATAGGACTGAATGCAGAGCTAGCTTGAATTAGAAACAGTGTCGACATCATAGTCCCTAGATGAATTTGTCTGCAATGTACTTCAATACCCTACTATAATTCTGAAGGTCCCCTGTATAGTACCGGAACTCCCTTCAACACAGGCGACGATATCTCAAACGCTGAACCAAGCACAGGCCCTTATTTTGAGGAGCCTCAAGATTATCCTTGATTCCTGACCCCGTGAGCTCCGTTTGTCTCATGCTGGCCCTGCCGCGTTACCCCAGGCCCTAAACTCCAAATCCTAACCCCAACCATAAACCCTGGACCTTAACCCTAAATCCTAACCCTAAACCCTATTACCCTAAACCTCAACCCCAAACACTAAACCCTAAATCGTGTTTGCTTGGTGCATTCTTGTAGGAAATCCAGGGGGGGGGCAAAACTCCTAAACGGCTCATTTCGTCTTTAATGCATGGTAAGGTACAGGGTTTAGGGTTCTTAGACCATATAGGGATTCATAGTCTTTAAGGGTATAGGGCCACTACTTTGAAGGCCCGTTGCTTGCTTGTATATCCCAGCGCATATTCCACAGGCAATGTGAGCATCCTGGAGGCCTCAGGAATGAAAACTCTATACCGCCAAGAGGGTCCATATACTACCATTAGGTTTTAGGGTTTAGGGTGTTAGGGTCCTTAAAGCCATCATGAGGATGATCTTTGGGGACCTAATTCCGCAACGGTAGTACATATATGGACCCTCTGTGATTGACCTGCCGGTTTGTTCTTTGTTTGAGGATCCTAACCATAAAATAGGCTCTCCGAAGAGGGCATTGCATTCTAGGTATTGGCAGAACCCAGAAAGTGCAACAACCGCACATTAAGGACTGTCTGTAAGCCCGAAAGACTTACGCACCTGCTCCCTTCCTTAAACAAAGGCATCGGCTGGGACTTGTTGACAATTACAGCATCATACTTACGGGGGCTCATCAAAGGAGCCCTAGGAATGAACGCAATATCATTTCTAGACCTGAAGGGGGTCATAAGGGAAGCTAAACCCTAAAAAAAGGGAATAAGGGCCTACTCTGGGTCCTGGATTTGCACTCTTTAATCAAGGGGCTTTGGAGTCTCTGGGAGGGCTTAGAGCACGTCCTGAACTACTATATACATGGACCTTTTTATAGTTAGAATTAGAATAGGCTTTTGGGGTACTCTATACTATGAACTGTGATAAGGAACCCCCAAAATAGTATAGGTAATTAGAAGTAAGGCCCCTATGCTACCATAACGCAGTGCTTGTGGGATCCCTGCTTGGCCCTAAACCCTCGATCCAAAGCTCTCAACCAGTAAAACCCTAAGCCCAAAATCATCCGAGGATTTTCTCCAAGAATCTGGTATATACTATTTGGGTACATGGACCCTTTAACCCTAAACCCTATAGAACCCTTATAGGAATCCTTAAAGGAACCCCTCAAAAAGATACCCGTTTGCGTGCAAGACCGATCGGATCTGCCTCTTGGGCAGCAGCACGGGCCAGTTTGGATGTGATTGTGCCGTTTGAACCTGCCGCAAGTGGTACCGTAGCAGTGGTGGTAGTGGTAGTAGTGGGTAGAGTAGTGGTAGAGTAGTGGTGGCCATGCTTCAGCGCTTTGGTCTTTAGGTTTAGGATTTAGGGGTCTAGGGTTTAGGGTTTGGGGTTTCGGGTTTAGGTGTTTGAGGTTATAGTTGGGATTATCGGTGCCCGAAGTAGGGTCCTCCTAAGCATAACCTTACTGATAAACTTACGTACAGACTAAGTCCCATGAGCCTCTAAAGCAGGATTTATAGGCTTTAGGCCTTAGGACTTTGGCTTTAGCTTTTAAACCTGAGTTGTCCTTTAAGCCCGTTCAAAATTATGTACTATTTTGGTTCTCAAGAAAATAGTATGGGAAATTAGCAAAGATCCCAAAGGACAACCCAGAAACGGTTTTCGGCTCGAGAGACCTGTTCAGGAGTCTACTGCTTGATCGAGTGTGATGGCTCTCTGGGTAAGGCCTCCAAATGGGTTTAGGGTTTACCCAGAGGGTCCAAGTACCCAAATAGTAGGGTTTTAGGTCCTAAAATCCATACTTTGAATGGTTTTTGGACCTTGAAACCCTCCTATTCGGGTACTTGGACTCTTACGGTTAGGGTTTACGAGCTATGTGCGCATTTCCGGAAATTACGGGTACCGTTCTGGGGTCCTCACAAGAATAAGGATCCTACTATTTAGGGTATTATTTGAGGTCCCCTAAACCCTAAACCCTTATGCCTAAACCTTCCAAAATCCCTTAATTCAGGAATATACCTCAAATCATAATAGGATCCCTAATATGATTTAAGGTATATTCCTTACTTAAGGGATTTTGGAAGTTCTGGTGGGTGCCCTATTTTCGGAAACTTCCATTTGGGCTCCAAGAGCCTCCAACGAAGGATCGCTGCAGAGCGGCTGCGAACAGCAGGGCGATGAGGAGGAATGACCTTGCATCGATAAAGCAACCCTTAAAGGATACCCTTAAGGAGCCCGTGAAGAATCTCTTACGGATATAATTCTACCACGATCTTGCGTTCAGGACTTCAGTGCTTTAGGACTCAACTTGTGCTTGGGCTAGAAGCTCTCTTCAGGCTTTGAGGTTAGCTTTAACGCCAAAGAATACACCTTTTTTAAGGGCTCAATGTAGGAACTTGATTAAGAAACCCTGGGCCTAGAACCCCAAAACAGCAGGATTCATAGAAGGAACCTGAATAAAGGCTCTTAGTCAGGTTCCTACATTAAACCCCCCAAAACCCTTAATGATAATACCCTTATAGTACCCTTTAAAGGAACCCATATAGAACCCTAAGAAAGGCCCAAAGTTCCTACATTCTACGAAAAAATAATGGTTAGGAGCCCAATGAGGTAGGTTTTGTGGGATCCAAGTAAGGCTCCCTTAGGGCCTACGGGGTTTAGGGTTTAGGGTTTAGGGTTTAAGGTTTAGGGTTTAGGGTTTAGGGTCCATGTAACCACATCGTGTATACTTTGGCCTTAAGGTAATCCCTATATAGGTACTTCGGGGCCAATGTATATACTATCTGGGTGCATGGACCCTTAAAGGCTTGTTTGAAGCCGATTAAAAACTTTCTTCAATTCAACTCCTTTCGAACTTTGAGTACAAGCCAAAAAAGTTGAAACATCACTATCCTCATGCCCTTAAGGTTCAAGTATAGGGGATCCCAGCACTAATCCTCCTGAACCCATCATAGGGATCCTTAGGGGTGTAGGGGGGAGGGGTGTAGGGGACTATATTTCCTTAAATAGGCATTATTAGTCCTTATTATGGGCCTTAAGGCCCCCTACCCCCTCCCCCTACACCCCTAAGGATCCCTATGAACTAATCCTCCTGAACCATGTTCCCACGTCCTAGGATTCGCTGCATGTCGGCTGCGGGTCTTGTCTACGCCTGCTTGCAGCCTTTCTGTAGGGCTGGTTTCGGTTGATGATACGAATCCTGGGGTTCCTTTAAAGGGCTCTATAGGGGGTACCTTTAAGGGGTTCCTTTAATGGATCTATAGGGGGTTCAGGGTTTAGGGTTGATGATATAACTCCTGCATGACCCATAATAAGGATTATACAAGAATTCCCATAGTTTAGGGTCCTTAAGGTAATGCAGGATTTATATCATCAGGCAAGCCTAGACAGGAATCCTAAGTACCCCCTAGGGGAGTGTTGCAAAGTATGTCAAGCTACGAAACCCCCATAATACCCTTTGTAGTAATCCTTACCCAGAGGCTCCATATACAGTACCATTATGGAATTAGGCCCCAAAAGACCCTCCTTATCAGTGTTTTAGGGGCCTACTTCCAGAATGGTACTGTATCTGGAGCCTCTAGGTTGGTTTGGGCTTTCAGGCTTTGGCGTATCGGGTCCTAGATTTTTGGAGCTCTGGGCGCCGATCCCTACACTCCACAAAACCCTATGAGCCCTTCAAGAAGGGAGAGCTCGCGGAATAAGTCTATGGAATTGGGAAAATCTCAAAACGATTTAAGAATCCCTCCAACAAAAACAAAGAAACAAGTCGATCCAAGATGCAGCAGCCCGGATCGGGCAAGACTTCGCGCACGCAGCGCCATGGTGACAGCAGGGAGCACTGGAGTCCGAATATGGGTGGTTGTCAAACTTAGGGTCCCTTTTTGGGTCCTTATTACAATACGGCACTTAATATTTAGGGTAATTGCCCAAAAAGGAACCATAATTGTGACAACTACCCATATGGGAAAGTATGCATATCCAGTCTCGTCGTGCAAAGTTTGGCTCAGGAAGCTGATTACTTGTTTCAACCGTGAACGTCTAACCTGGTACGGCCTTGACATTGCATAGACATGTCAAGTTGCACATTGTAACTGCCGATGCGGTAGCAAGCATAGAAGTAGCATGTCTTTGAAGCTAACCACAGCAACACCAGCAGCAACAGCAACAACACCGACAATGCAACACTGACGATAATGACAGTATTGTGAATCCTAACACGACAGCAGTAGTGGTAGTAGTGTGCAGTTTGTAATAGCTCTACTAGGGGGAGCAGCAGCAACAAACCCGAACCCCGAGAATGCCAACTCTCATCCCAAGAGTCGGACACAAGAGTCCGACGCCTCGACCTGAATACCACACAGGCTTTAGAGTTCCTAAGGCTCTATGTACCCATGTAGTACATACTTAGGCCTGAAAGTACCTATATAGGGACCCCTTTAAGGCCTAAGTAGCTGCTATAAAGGTACATGGAGCCTTTGGGAGCTAAGGGTTTCGGATAGACGACACCTGCGACCCCTCACCCAGACCTTTCAAAATACCTTCATTAAGGAATATACCTTAAATCATATTAAGGATCCTACAATAATTTAAGGTATATTCCTTACTTCAGGGATTTTGGAAGGTCTGGGCATAAGGGT